GGGAAGATCTCACATGCCACGGAGCGGCTGGGCCCGTGAGCCATGGCCGCTGAGTCTGTGCGTCCGGAGCCTGTGCTCCTCAACGGGAGAGGCCACAACAGTGAGAGGCCCGCATACCGCGCGCAAAAAAAAAAGCAAAATTAAATCAATGCTAATATTTATAATTATCTTTATAAATATAGATTTAATTTAAATGAGCTTTATAATTACAGAACTGAATTATACAGAATGGCAAAGTAAGCAGGTGCAAAACTACAGGAAAAAATCTTTGTTTCTTATGGTATGAATCTACTGACAAGTAAAGGTAATCAAGTTGATATCCTATGTTGAACTCTACTAGAATGTTTACAGCAGTTTAAGAAAAAAAATTACAATTTATCAGCAAGCTAGACAATGTACTAATTTAAACTTCCCATTAAATAGAACCTAGAAACAGTAAAGTTAAAATCTAAGTGAAAACTGTCTGTTTATAGGCAATTTCTTTCTTTTATGCTTATTAAAAACTTTATGATGAATTCTAATGAAACTAAAGTAACTAATTTATTTCATTTTTTAATTGAAGAAGCAAAGGTAACAGCAATATAATAGATACAAATTATAATCATAAGTAATACAAATCTCTTCCTTTAAAAAAAGAAAAAAAACATAAAAGTGGATTACAATTTTGAAACATTTTCAGAAGAAGCAAGTCTCATTCATGCCACAATGAATCAGGTTGGTATAATAGCCTTGAAGAAAAAGGAAAAATTTTCTGTAACAATCATTTGGCCCTTTATCTATCTGGTTACTAGTTTAGCTCAGAGGTTGACCTGCCTTTAGTCAAGTATTAAAAGCCAACAAAAAACCTATTGTATTTTCTGAAAGATTTAATGTTATTTGAGTACAATTTTGAAGTCTTTTTGACATCCAGAATTTATAATTAAAGCCCTTAGGACTTTCTCACCCTTTTAAAATAAGCATACCCTGAACCGAAAGAATGTTTATTATGAAACTAAGGACAAACCTTTGAGATAATCCCTGAGGCCAAAAGGAACAAGAATTTTTATGTTTAGATTGTCATAACCACAGAAAAGAGCCTATTATTAATGCTATAAGAAAGTTCACCTTCATGTGTGCCCCCTCTACTGTAATTTTTATGCCATTATTCGAAATTCTAATACTTTAAAATTTTTATATTCATGATATTCAAAGGATTCATAATGAAATTTATATAACAAAATGACCAATCCCCAATTTATAAATCCTCAAACACTGAGTCCTTAGCCACCCTACCAACTCTATTCCTTTCACTCTAACCATCTTCAGAATCACCCTCTTACCTTCCCCTTCCTTCCTTCCAAACTTCTTTAAGATCCTTCAAAATATAGCTCCAACCTACTTTCTTCTCTCATCTCCCACTATTCTACCAATCTGCATCCCATGTTCTAGACTCAGACTACTAACTACTCTGAGACTACTAAGCACTTCCATGGGCTCTGAGAGAGGAAAACCCATGTTCAAAATCTGGCTCCATTATTTACTAGCAATGTGATCTTCAGCACAATACTTAAACTCTCTGTGCCCCCTCTCCATATGCAAAACAGGGATTAAAATGCCTATCTCAAGAGTTGTGAAAATTATACTTTTGATTAACACAGAGATAGCCAATACAGATACCACAAACATCCAACTAATCACCTTTAAAAGCATGAATAAGACACAAAGTACACAGGTACTGAAACAAGATTTTAAAAAAGATTTTTAAAAAAAAGAACGTTTTATTTATACCATAACAATCAGAACAATGACACATAACTAAGTGGTGCAGTCACACCCTAACAAAATTTAAGAGGGCTAAAACTGGTCTTACCCTCATTTCCATACTCTCTACCCAACAAAACAATGGAAAATAATGCCAGTTCTCCCACTTTTATTTTCTAGATTAACACCAGCAACTGCTCAAGGTCAGAATACTGCAATTCATCCTTGCCTGCTCTTTCTAACCTCACTTCCTACACGAAATTAGTCACTCGAATATTTTAGTTCTAAAATATCCCTTTTACCTACCTCCCTCAGTTACTACCTACTCTAAGCACTCATTATTTCTCACCCAAATTGCTGCTACAGCCCCTCAAAAATGGTTTCCCAGCCTCGAGTATCTCCTGTCAATATTCCACATCACTACCACAGTATGTGGCTGGCCACAGAATAAAATCTTACCCTTACAGTCTAGCTTACAAAGCCCTCATTAACCCAGGTCCAATCTGTTTTTCAAACCTCATTGCTAGTCATTCCCCATGTCTACCTACCTATAACAGATTACTTGCTACATTACCCAACACGCTCAACACTTTTATATCTCTGTGACTTTGTCTTTTGCTACAAATGTTCTTCCATCCTCTTTCTACCTGGTAAACCACTATTCATCTTTTAAGATCGAACTCAAATGTGTTCAAACTTTACCTCTATTTCCTAATGCTGAATTAACCGTTTTGCTATCTATATTCCTGAAACACTTTATAAATAAATGCCTACACTGCTTTCACATTAAATTATAATTACATAATTATCTCCCCCTTTAGAGTATGAACTTACTGAACACAAAGATCATATATCCTCAGCAAGTAAATAGTTCACATAGAACAATTACTATTTGCTGAATTGAGCTAAAGTTCAGAAAATAAACTATAAGTCCATGAAGCGAGGTCCCAAACTTCATCAATATTTTCAAATGCAGCAGAACTGCTCTTTGTCCAACATGATCAGGATCAGTAGTTGATTACTTAGAAAAGTCTGTTAAAGAAGGGAAACATACATACACTCTTCTTAAACACTTTATTTTAACTTAAAGCATATGCAGTAAGTGTATAGTCATTCTCTAATGTAATAACACACAGTCAAGATACAGTTTTTAATGGGAATTGTGCTTCCTTCTTGTATAAACCATACCTGTCATTTATACTGCTCAGTTTCCATCTTTTTAAAATGGACCAAGGACCTGAGAACTAGAATCCTTCTAGAGGTTTGTAATTTTTCCCAATCTTATAAACTACTTAATTAAATTAATTACAATAACAAGTACAACTGACATAAGAAGGTTTGGTTACCAGTACAACCAACTCGATATATAACTGAACTGGTGAGAGAAATACAGAGGTACAGAAATCTTCTAATGGACAAGATTCATCATGCATTCATTATGCTTCGATCATCAGTCACTACATGTTACAGAAGGACTGGGAAATATCAGTTACTCCAATGAGTCAATTAAGCGGAGTTTTGTTAAGAGAGCATCAACATAACGCAACTAAAGATAGTCCTTCATGAATATATCAATACATAATAGCAGAATCACTTTCAGATTAAATGCTCTGAGCCAGCTTTCTTATCTGGTAAAGAAAAAATGGCATATCGTAAGCCCTAATATCTGGACTTGCTCTTACCTGTCAATCCTAGCTCCCACTTCTGGACTCGATTTTACCTATGGGCCCTCAGGTTGTTCATATCTTCAAACTTCATAGCAAAAAACATGTATTTCTTAAAATCATGGCTCAACTAAAACCTTGTTCCAGAATCAAGATCCCATCTTCCCCACCTTCTTGGTCCATCAGTTTCTTTTAATTATCCTACCTGCCTGCTTGGACTTGAGACCATGTATTCAACTTGCTCTGTGACATCTATAATCTCCTTTCCCTTTATTGCCTGACCAGACTTTTGAATAACAACACGGCCTTCAGAATAAATGTAAGCTAAGTGTCTTCCTGCTTGGTGTCCAACTGCCTGTCCTAAACCAAATATCTAAGTATAGTCAGATTTCTACATACCTGCACACTTGCCCATTCTTGCAGATTTGTTTTCAGTTTATCGTCTCAGTCTACATCCTAACTTTTCTACTTTGTCTTAGCACTCCGAATTCTACCATCTTTTCAGCTAAAGTTCATAGCCATTCATGGTTGCTAAGACTGCATACAAAGTACAATGAATACAATTAGAATTAAAAAGCAATGGCTCCAAGGCACTAAAAGATCCCAGAAAAAGCCTAACTTATGTCTGTACATGCTACTTGCTATGATATAATAAATGAACTTAGATATTTTAGAAAAGTTTCAATAACAGGTGAAACAAAAGATTTTCTGGGTTTTTCTTAGTTAATAAAGAAATTAAAGGAACTAGAATACTCCATTCCTCAGGAATTTGAATTTTCTAAATATTTACCATATATAAATATTTTAAAGAATGATAAATTTTATTATAATCATATTTTAAATATGAACTAATGTGAGTATAGCTTGGTTATCAGGTTTGAGAGAAGAATAAAAAGATAACTGTTTAATTCTCTTAATCTTGTTCTAATTTTCATAGTCTCTAATTTTTGTATTATTTCCAAACCTATGGTGAGTAATATTATGGCAAGTTTTTAAAAAACAACATTAATTATTTTAATTGATGTATAACAAATTCAGACTTTTTAACATCTGTGACATCTTATTAAAAAAACAGAAACAATACTTTCTTTTGATGAACGCTTCTTTTTGACTAATCACAATAGAAAGAATAAGCACCAAGATTACTCTAACTTCAGATTCTAGAATAACATTGAATAATAGAATGCCACTTCAACAGTCAACTGCTTCAAAGTATTTTCAAATTACTGCATGCACAGAAGCATAAATGATGATAAACAACATATGGCTTTAGTCACCATGGAAACCCTATTTCTTAAAAAACTGAATATTTTTTTCTTGTTTACTCTAATACATCATCAACGTATAGATGATATATACACATACAGCCTTGCTTCCCAGCTATAAAGTAGTAGTACCTCTATTAGTCATATTTTTCCTAAGACAAAATGTTTATTACTTAAGTATGTCCTTTAAGTGCAATGCAAAATAATTAGGTAAACATCAGCTACCACAACAAAACCTGTCAGAGACTTTTATATGAGATGTTCTCCTAGGCATCTAAAAGATAAAAGCACACAGGCTGGCACACCAAAAGTATAAGCATTAAAAACATACCAATTTCTTCCACTTCTTCCAGGAAATCATTATACTCTCTTAGACTAGGAAAGTCTTCTTCCCTTTTATTGTATCTTTAAGAGAAGAAAAAAATGAACATATTCCATATCATTTGCTTTCAATAGTAACTAACTGGTTTGTTTGTTCTTACTAATTCATACATGATACATAAAAAAGGACTGCTTACAGCGTAAAACAGTTTTCTTGACACCAGGTTTGTAACTACAGCAAGAATGTTGTTCTTAAATTCTTATGACTACAGAGAAGGAGTAGAATCAGGAGATAATGGTACAACATGTAAAATCCTAAGACTTAAGGGAAAAATAAAGAAATTAGGACACTGAAGAAATGGGAAATGAGCTTAAACAAGGTCTATCATTAGAATTATGATATTGTTTACTTCTAATAAATAGAGTCACTAATTTCCAGAAAGCTAAAATTAATTAAAAAGACACCTTCCTGGGATTTCCCTGGTGGCACAGTGGTTAAGAATCCACCTGCCAATTCAGGGGACACGGGTTCAATCCCTGCTCCAGGAAGATCCCACATGCCGCGGAGCAACTGAGCCCGTGCACCACAACTACTGAGCCCACGAGCCCATGCTCCGCAACAAGGGAAGCCACTGCAATGAGAAGCCCGTGCACCACAAAGAACAGTAATCCCCACTCGCCGCAACTAGAGAAAGCCCGAGTGCAGCAACAAAGACCCAACACAGCCAAAAATAAATAAATAAATTTTAAAAAATAAAATAAACAAATAAAATGTTTCTCTAAAAATTAAAAAATAAATAAATAAAAAGACAGCTGCCTGTTTTTCATGACAGTTACAGTCTAAAGGATGCTAGATCAAGAAAATCTATAAATATTATAAGTGTGCCTGTGAAGAATTAGGAAACGAGAGGGCTTAATGAAAAAGATAAGAATCTAAGAGAGACTATCTCCCATAAGCAATCCAAAAACTAAAAGAGTAGCTTGGGGTATTGATAAAGTAACACTTTATCTAGTAAAGTACCTAGAAAGATGCCACTAAAACATTGGTGACCAATGTTGAAATGCAGACCACCTAGATAGGTAGATATTAATTCTTTAAACCTAAAAAACAATAAAACTAACATACCATTGTAAAGCAATTATACTCCAATAAAGATGTTTAAAAAGAACAAAAAAATAAATAAAAAACAATAAAGTGGCTTATAACAAAAGTACAGATAAAATGAAATCCAAAACTATTAACAAAGAGTAAAAAATTAAATAATAAGTGACAAAGAATATTAGAAATATTTATGTACTCACATACACACAGAGATCTATCAAAATAAATTGTAGCTAATGCTGATTTTTCTCTAATAGCTTTCAATCTCAACTTAAATGTTACCTCCTCAGGCCTTACCTTACATCACTGACCCACAACAACATTCAGTCCCTAACTTCATAGCATTTTTCTCAATGTATAATCACATATTTGTTTTGTTTGCCTGTTTTACTGTCTATGTCTATGCTATCCAAGCTACTGTACTGTAAGCCTTTCGAGGGCCTAATATGTATAACACTGTTCGAACAGAATAGGTACTCAGTATATATTTACTAATTAAATTAAAGAATAAATAAAGCAAATAAATTGTGAAGCCATCAATTTGGAGGATTTACTCTTCTCTGGGAGTTCCCCGATGGCCTAGTAGTTAGGATTCTGGGCTTTCACTGCCATGGTCCAGGTTCCATCCCTGGTAGGGAACTGAGATCCTGCAAGCTGCATGGAGTGGCCAAAAAATTTTTTTTAATTTTTTAATAAAAAAGATTTACACTTCTCTAACAAAGATTAGATAATTAGGGACTTCCCTGGTGGTCCAGTGGTAAAGAATCCACCTTCCAATGCAGGGGACGGTAGTTCGATCCCTGGTAGGGGAACTAAGATCCCACATGCAGTGGGACAACTAAGCCCGCACGCCACAACTACTGAGCTCGCACGCTCATCTAGAGAGAGCCCGCGTTCCACAAACTACAGAGCCCACGCACTCAGGAGCCTGCATGCCACAATTAGAGAAGAGAAAACCTAGACGCCACAACTAGAGAGAAGCCCGCACGCCACAACGAAGAGCCTGCGGGACGCAACAAAAGATCCCACATGCCTCAACTAACACCTGACGCAGACAAATAAAAAAAAGATTAGATAATTAATATTACTGAGTTCTCTAAGACCTTAATAATTTTTTTAACATTGAACAATTACATAAATGAATTTATACTTATTCACTTGTCAAACTGTCCACATTTCTACAAGTAAATAATTATATCAATTACAGAAATAATTGTTAAAGTCCTCTTTGTGAACTGAATCATTCAAACATTAACACTTACATCTTTAGCACTTTTTTCCGAATCTCAACTTCCTTGTCAACAGCAGGATCTTCAAAGAGTTGTACCCTGAAGTTGCTCTTTCTAAGTGGAGTGCCACACTCAGGACAGTTTCCAGCTCCTCTCACAAAGAGTAAGTCCACGCAACTTTCACACCTGTAAGGAGGAAAATATAACTTTTAAGCTAGTATTCAAATCGGCAACAACTCTGTATATAGTTTGCCTTTGTTTTGGTGTTTCTTTGTTTGGGGGGGCTGCGGGGGGGCAGGAAAATTAATCATTGCTGCTTAAACTCTTATTAAAAACCTTTGGGAAAAAAGTTCATTTTCATTTGGAGCCTACTTCAGACATAGGTGTCCCAAGGGTTACCAGTTTAGTTTTACAAATTAAACAAATATACAAGTTTTTAAAAATTGATTTGGGATCTGGGAGGACTCAGATAGCAGGACAGGGGGAAGTCAAAGAGGCACATAAAAGAGCAGTCTAGGGTCAACTCCACTCTCAGTCCAGTATCACCCTTAGACCTGGCAGGGGCCTGCACTTTAGAGAACACTGCATATCATAATCACTAAAACAAAAACTTTTTTTCCCCTTTCAGCCTTTGTAAGGAAGTTTTTTAAAGTTCCGTTAGCAATTGAGTAAGTGGCAGTTACACAAAAGGGAGAGGTGCTAGCTGAAGGAGGCCCCCAGGCCAGAGGATAAAGAACTGAGAGTGACCTAGTATATGTGGAGAAAGGAGAAAATCACCACAGCTTCTGCCCTGAGAAATCCTAGAAAGAACGGCTACTTATAAAATCTTTAATCAGTTAAACCTGGCTGTCCTAAATTCACCAAAGTGATTGCCCAGGCAAGCCAAGTTTCCCAAATACCTCCATCCCTTCTTTCCTCCCTTCTTGGGTAGTACAATTTGGGGAAGAACTTAGAACTTCCTGGAAGTCTTGAGTTGGAAAAGAAAGAAGCTGGCAAGGTTAACGAGATTCCTGCGAATTGACAGGATCAGTTCATATACTGTTTTAGATGGGTCCAGGCACCACCCAATCATCCCTGCCCCGTCCTGCCCTAGCAGACCCATGCTAGTAATCAGACTAGCAAGTGGAAAGGCTGACCAGAAGAAAGTAGCTGCTTTAGCCTGTGGGTCTTAAAGATTCAGGCTCCTGGGAACTCAGGATGCAGCGCTGGAACTAAGGCTGCACTAAAGATGTAGCTTGATCCATACTTTCAAACATTTAAACATTTTGGTATGTAGTCCTCCAGTTGTAATATTGCCCAACTCCATATGTTAGGGCCATACCAACCCTAATCACTCCTTTCTTAGCACTATTTGAAATTATTTATTTCTTTATGTGTTGATTTTCTGTAACCTCCACTAGAATGGAGGGCAGGAATTTGGCCTATAATTATTCTAAACACATCACAACACACACACAAAAAAAGGACAAATTCTAATAAATAAGGGAAAAGTTGATTTCTTCCAAATATGTAGTTGACTTACGGAATAAGCTAAATGAGAAGAACGATACAGATAAATAAGAATATTTAAGGTTAGTTATCAGTAAAATACTAACATTGACCTTTGCATATTTCTATCTTAAAGTAGAGGGGAAAAAAATCCATCAAAAAATAGAGGCAAAAAATCCCTAAGAGGGAGAACAGAGATCATAGTTGTCATTATTCAAGGTCAACAAAACCCCAGAAAATTCACTTGGGATTGGGAAGATTGGGAGTGGTACATTTTGCCTAATCTTTGTGGTTGGAGGAAATTAAATCCAACTAGAGAAGTTGAAAATGAGCACACTTTAGAACTACACTGACTAAAGATATTTATAGGCAAGGAGCCATCTGAAATACTCAAAACCATCGAGCCATTACATAGAATATTCTATATTTCAAGGTCTTGGAGTCAGTAATTCAGTTAACAAGGTAATATAGAACACTTTAATATTTCTAAAAGTCATATTGTAATCTCAGACATATAATTTGTTACCACCGTCAGTTCCACATCTCCACTTTTAAAAAATCTACCTTAAATCATAAGGATTTCAAAAAAAAAAAAAAAAAATCATAAGGATTTCAACAGTATTAAGGTCTTTTTAAAATAAGTTATTTTCCCATACTTTTCCCTTTCTGATTTTAATTGCTAAAAGAACAAATAATTCTTTTTTTAAGCTCAAATATAGAAGTATATAGAGAAAAAACTCAAAGTTCTACTTCATTCTGTTCTACATCTCACTTCCCACATGTAACATACAACTGTTAAGTTCCATGTTTACATGGCCACATCTTTTTCTACATACTTACAATATATGTATTTACAGATTATATACATGAAAACTAGTCATACAAAAAAAGAACAGAAGAAACCGTTCCTTATTGCTAGTTCACTTCATCTGGCAGCAGAGCAACCAAAAGAGCAGTATGTGGGCAATCTTTTGCCTCCAAGAGTGCTAGGAACTCTTTCAAACAAAATCTTATATTCTGCAGAACATAGGAAAATTTGCTGAAAAAGCCCAAATCCTCAGTTATTCCCAAAGATATTTTTATGGTTTTCTTTTGTTTTTAAAAACTAGAATGGTGCCTGCCCTCTTTTCTCTCTGAACAACTTATTTTTAGATTTTATTTTCTTCTATCAAGGATATTTAACTGCTCATATTCCTCTGTCAAGATTTTTAATCAGCTTGTTTCTTCTTTTTCCAGAGCTAAGAAGTCAATTAAAAATCTTGACAAAGACTAGATACAAAAAAACCTACAGCTAACATCATACTTAATGGTGAGAAACTGGAAGTTTTCCAACTAAAATCAGGTACAAAGCAAGACTGTCTCCTACTCTCACTGTCTCCTACTGTCACTACTCCTTTTCAACATGATACTGGAAGTCTTTGCTAATGCAGTAAGACAAGAAAAGGAAATAAAAGATATACAGATTGGAAAGGAAGACACAGAGCTCTCTTTGTTTACAGATGACATGACTGTCTATGTTAAACATCCAAAAGAATCAACCAAAAAACTTCTAGAACTAATAAGTGATTATAGCAAAGTTGCAGGATACAATATACAAAAAGTCTACTGCTTTCCTATGTACCAATAATGAACAAGTGCAATTTGAAATTAAAAACACAATACCATTTATGTTAGCTCCCAAAAGTTTGAACGTTTAAGTATAAATCTAACAAAATATGTACAAGATATTGTACAAAATATGTACAATATGAGAAAAACTACAAAATCAAAAAAGAATTAAATAAATGGAGAGATATTCCATATTCATGGACAGAAAGAGTTCATGCAAAGGAAGACTCAATATTTTGAGTTGTCAGTTTTTACCATCTTGATCTATAGATTCAATGCAATTCCAATCAAATTGCCAGGAAGTTACTGTATGGACATCAACGAACTGATTCTAAAGTTTATATAAAAAGGCAAAAGACCAGAATAGGTACCATAATGTTGAAGGAGAAGAACAAGGTTGGAAAACTGATGCTACCTGACTTCAAGATTTACTACAAAACTACAATAATCAAAACAGTGTGGTATTGGTAAAAGAACAGATGAATAGACCAATGGAACAAAATAGCCTAGAAATAGACCCACATAAATATACTCAGCTGATCTTTGACAAAAAAGCAAAGGCAACACATGAAGCAAAAACAGGCTCTTCAACAAACTGGACATCGACATGGAAAAAAATGAATCTACACATGAACCTTATACCCTTAAAAAATTAACTCCAAACTTAACTCACAGGCCTAAATGTAAAATGCAAAACTATAAAACTCCTTGAGTATAAGGTAGGATAAAAACTGTATGACTCGGGGCTTCCCTGGTGGCGCAGTGGTTAAGAATCTGCCTGCCAATGCAGGGGACACAGGTTAGAGCCTTGGTCCGGGAAGATCCCACATGCCGTGGAGCAACTAAGCCCGTGGGCCACAACTATTGAAGCCCGCGTCCCTAGAGCCCCGTGCTCTGCAACAAGAGAAGCCACCGCAATGAGAGGCCTGCACACTGCCTGAAGAGTAGCCCCCACAACTAGAGAAAACCCACGCACAGTGACGAAGACCCAAGGCAGCCAAAAACAAATAAAATAAATAAATTAAAACAAAAAAAAACTGTATGACTTTGGGTATGGCGATGACTTTATAGATACAACACCAAAGGCATGATCCATGAAAGATATCACTGATAAGCTGGATTTTTTTTTGGATTTTTTTTTTAATTAAAAATTTCGGCTCTGCTAAAGATGATGTCAAGAGAAAAAAAAACACCTGATAAAGGACTGTTATCTAAAATATACGGGGGAGAAAACCTCTTAAAAAATGGGCTGAGGACCTTAACAGACAACTCACCAAAGAAGACACAGGTACACCTCATTTTATTGAGCTCTGCTTTATTTCACTTTGCAGATATTGTGGTTTTTACTAACTGAAGGTTTGTGGCAACTGCATTGTCAGATGATAGTTAACATTTTCTAGTAAGAGAGTATTTTTTAATTAAGGTATGTACTTTTTTTAGACATAATGCTATTGCACACTTAATAGACTACAGTGCAGTGTAAACATAACTTTTATATGCACACTGGGAAACCAAAAAATTATTGACTCATTTTATTGCAATATTCACTTTATTGCAGTGGTCTGGCACTGAACCCACAATATCTCCAAGGTATGCCTGTATACAGATAGCAAATAAGCACATGAAAAGATGTTCCACATAACATGGCATCAGGGAAATGCAAGTTAAAACAATGGGGTATACACTACACTCCTATTAAAATGGCCAAAATGCAATATACTGACAACACCAAATGCTTACAAAGATGTGGAGCAACAGGAACTCTCATACATTGCTGGGGGGAATGCAAAATGGTACAGTCACTTTGGAAGACAGTTTGATGGTTCTTTATGAAACACAGCATGCTCTTACCATACAATCCAGCAATTATGCTCCTTGGTATTTAACCAAAGAAGTTGAAAACTACATCCACACAAATACCTGCACAAATGTTTACAGAATCTTCGTTCATAATTGCCAAAACTTGGACACAACCAAGATGTCCTTCAATAGGTAAATGGATACATAAACTGTGGTATATCCAGACAACAGAATATTATTCAGCACTAAAAACAAATGAACTATGAAGCCATGAAAAGACATGAAAGAAG